GCGCCGCCTTCCACCAATAAGGACGCAGGGAAGCCGGATCGTGTGGCCTGGGCGAGCACAGATAAAAGCAGCCCGGCCCGGCTCTCAGCTTCATTCTGAGCCGAGCCTGGTTAGCAGCGCAGGAGGCTCCGTAGGCTCCGTAGGCGGCGGCGGTGGCGGCCTGAGCTCTAGGGCAGCCCGCTCCCTCCTCCCGGTCTCTCCTTCCCCGCGCTCAGCATGAAAGCCTTCAGTCCAGTGAGGTCCGTTAGGAAAAACAGCCTTTCGGACCACAGCCTGGGCATCTCCCGGAGCAAAACCCCGGTGGACGACCCGATGAGCCTGCTCTACAACATGAACGACTGCTACTCCAAGCTCAAGGAGCTGGTGCCCAGCATCCCCCAGAACAAGAAGGTGAGCAAGATGGAAATCCTGCAGCACGTCATCGACTACATCTTGGACCTGCAGATCGCCCTGGACTCGCACCCCACTATTGTCAGCCTGCACCACCAGCGACCCGGGCAGAGCCAGGCGTCCAGGACGCCGCTGACCACCCTAAACACGGACATCAGCATCCTGTCCTTGCAGGTAAGACCTACTCCCGGTGCCCCGCTCGCTCCCGTGCATCCCCGCGATCGCCTGGGCGGCAGACCCATTGTCAAGGCGGCCGTAGACGGTGACTTACAGATGAGATAATTAACTTTATCTTTAAAAAAAATTAATAAATCTGCTGTAGATTGAGTCGTGTGTGAAATGACTGGTAAGTTCTGACATGTTAATGCGTCTTTGAGTCCGAATTTAGCATAAACTTGATGTTCTGTGGACTACTTAAAAAACAGAAATAGAGGCTCTTTCTCCTTAAGGTTGTCTAACATCATGCCTTTTATCACCTTTCTCTCGCAGGCTTCTGAATTCCCTTCTGAGTTAATGTCAAATGACAGCAAAGCGCTCTGTGGCTGAATAAATGGTGAGTGTTTGTGCCGCCGGTTGAACTGCCGCTTGGAGTGTATGTGCGTGCGCGTGTGTGTACTTGCGGATCTGTAAGATTTGGGGCTTCATAACTGAATGTGTATTTTGTTGTATTTCCCGTAGTGCGTTGTTTACGTGTACTGGACATGAAGGGGCATCTAGCTTCTGTTACTCGAGATCACAGAACATTTTCCTTTAAAAAAAATGATGTTAGTAACTTAGTATGAAGGTGGCCGGGGGAAATGAGTACTGGCTTCTGTGCGCATGTAACATGCCCCGGCTGTTTCCTGCGATCGCTCTGGTACTACGAGGTACTAACCTCCGTGTAATTAATCTTATCGCCGCAAATTCCATAGGGATCCTCCTTCCCTGAAACTCCAGCCCTCTGGGATTCGGCTAGCCAAGCATTGCTGCCCTGTGCCCCAGACCCTGTGATGTGGGATTCCGACTTCCCTATCTGTTAACTAAAGGGCTGTTTTCAATCAAATAATTGTTACAAGAAGCAGACTGGCGCCTGCGAGCACTCCGTTGGAGATCCAAATAGGAGATTGCGCTGGGAAGTTTTTCCCCTGAGTCTCTGTATTTTCATGTTTAATTTGCGCTGTGGAGGCCGAGTGTGTGTGTTGCATCTGGACGCCAGGGTTTGCCCAACGTTTGAGTGTTTGGTTAAATGTTCAAACTGCGGCTTCCTCCTGGCGCCAGTCTGCCCGCCTCTGCCCTTAGGTTACAATCTCCTAAACAATCCTTTCTCTCCCGATCTTTTGCAGGTGTTCATGACTTTTTTTTTTTTCTCTTTGCACAACAACAACAACAAATCCACGGGCTCTTTTAAGGCGCTGAACTTATTTTTCAACCATTTCACAAGGAGGACAAGGCTAAGTCGAATGGACCTTTTTTAAAAATGGAAGGAAAACTAAGTGATCAAGTTCCCCAGGGTGTTCTCTGACCTGGACTGTGATATTAGTTATTTATGAAAAAGACTTTTAAATGCCCTTTCTGCAGTTGGAAGGTTTTCTTTATATACTATTCCCACCATGGGGAGCGAAAATGTTAAAATCACAAGGAATTGCCCAATTTAAGCAGACTTTGCCTTTTTTCAAAGGTGGAGCGTGAATACCAGAAGGACCCAGTATTCAGTTACTTAAATGAAGTCTTTCGGTCAGAAATTACCTTTTTGACGCAAGCCTACTGAATGCTGTGTATATATTTATATATAAATATATATATATTGAGTGAAACCTTGTGAACTCTTTGACTAGAGTTTCCTTGTATAGTGGCAGAGATGAATATTTCTGCATACAAAGCGTAATGATGTACTTATTCATGCTAAACTTTTTATAAAAGTTTAGTTGTAAACTTAACCCTTTTATACAAAATAAATCAAGTGTGTTTATTGAATGGTGATTGCCTGCTTTATTTCAGAGGACCAGTGCTTTGATTTTTATTATGCTATGTTATAACTGAACCCAAATAAATACAAGTTCAAATTTATGTAGACTGTATAAGGCTATAATAAAACACGTCTGAAGTCAATACCTGAATTCTGAATGGTTTTTAAGATACTTGTCTTGTGCACTCGCTCCTTCTCTCTCTGTCTCACCATTTTACTTAGCCCTTTCTCGCCCATTCCTTCCACCACCCTCTAAGTCTTGGAACCTGTGTGCAGAGAAACCCTTTATCAGATGATCTGTGGGCAGGGCCAGCACTTGGGCACAGGGCTGCGGCTGCTTCCGAGGAGAGCCGACAAGGGCTGGGGAGTCCGTAAACCAAGTTTCTCTTGGTCCGGCAAGGAAAGAGTAGTTTCTCTGCCTTGGGGCCGAGTCTCAAACCAGAGAGTTGCTGTGATGGTGACTCCTAGGAGTTAGATCGTTCAGATAAACTGGACTCTGGAAGGACTACCTGTCTGAGCAGACATCAAGGCACTCCTGGAGTAAATACAACCGCTATCAACCCGAGGAGAAACGGCCCCACAGAATTCTGGAACTGATCAAAGACTTAGAGGAAGGGCAAACAATCCCTCGGTGTTACTGTTTGCCCCAAGTGACTGTTTGCCCTGGAAAGTAAGCTGTAATATGGCTCTGAGCTTGGGGCCGCTGCACACCCTCCCCGTACCTTCTCCACCTGTAGCTCACCCAGCCTCCCGGAGAAGGGCTTCAACCTGCTGGCCTTCTGAGACAGGTGGCTATGAAATCGCCCTTCACCATTGACTGCACTGACTGGGCCATGGCCTGCCCAGGGAACGATAAGGGGGAGGGAATCAGAAAAAGGATCAGTTTCCATTGCAGCCATTCTGTGGCGATATTTGGACCCTGCTTTAAAATACGTAGTTTATAATATAGATGAGTGCTTAAAATTCAGATGTGTGCATGTATTTGTATCCTCAAATTGGAAGACACTTCCCCAGGGGTGTGAGTGGGAGGGTGTGGGAGGTTCTGGAAGGCTGGTCTGAGGTGGATGGGCACTGGCCAAGGGAGGGGGGGGAGGACAGGACAGGCAGGAGAGAGAGGTCTCACCTGGGGCCGCTTTCTGAGGCCTAGTCGAGCAGGTGTTTGGGTGGCGCCACCGAGTCTGCCCCGGTGGCTGCCGCGTTTCCGGCCTTGACACGGAATCCATCACCACCCAGCCACCCAGCACGGGGTGGTGGGTTGGAGATTTGTCTGGGAGAGATAGCCTGGGAATCTCAGCTCAGACCTGGCCAGGTTTCTGCATCCTCTGCGGGGGTCCCGACCCCAGACCCTCCTTCCAGGGCGGGGGTCTTGCAGCCGGCCAGGGCAGCTCTGCCCGTCACCCAGTCCCCGGACATCATCCTAGTCTGAAGGTGAGCCCATGCTTTTTGATCCAGGCGCACTGCCGACGGCTGCCGTTGTTGATAATCATACCCCCAGGGAAGTGGGCTCTGGCTGCGATAGCGGAGCCAGTCATCCCGACCCAGGCTGCTCTTCTAGGCTGTCACTTGACGTCTGTCCACCTGTCGTCAGCCCCTCCAGAGCCCTGCGCGGGGCTGGACACCGGTGGGGTGAGGACGAGAAGCGTGTGACCGGGTTGCTGCCCAACCCCCGCCCCGTCCTTTCCTCCGGGGACAGCGGGGCAGAGGGGCGCAGACACCAGCCTCTGGTCGCCCCCAGCCTCGGTGACCCGCGAGGTGGGCTCAGATGGGCGAAAGGATCTGGCCCGGGAGGCGGGTCTTGAGCAAAATCTCCTTGGCTTTGCCGGGGAAGCTGTGCGGGCGGGGCTGGGCCCTTTCGAGCACCTGCACTGTCACTGGGAGCCAGGGACCGTTTGCAAGTTTGGGGCGACGACCTAGAGTAGCAGCAGCGTCAAGGGGAAGAGGCGCCTTTCGGAAGAGACTTTTCGCGGGGGAGCCCGAGCGGCCCTTCGGGTCCGGCTGGTGGAGGCCGGGCGCCACCTGCTGGCCGGAGCGAGGAAGGCGGCGCAAGAGCGGGCTCCTCGTAGGCTGGGGACTTGGGAGCTTGGAACCGGAGTTATTCAGCTGGAGAGAGTCAGGGAGAAAACGAATGGCGATGTCATGAAAGATTACTCCTCCAGTGTGTGGACAGTTGTCTCCACAGACCTTATTTCATCTTTGCTGCTTCATAGCTTGGATAGGATTCCCCTTTGCAAACTACTGTCTACCACCAACGC